CTCCAGACATTGCTTTTTCTTTTTTTTGGTGTGTGTGTTTTTAGTGTTTTCTTCTTCTTCTTTTTCCTTTCCCCTACCCCTTCCCCCCCACTTTAATATTTTCTCTTCTACCACTGCTTCCCTTCATCACTGGCACAGTAAATAATCTTTCTTTAAAACAAACTCGCCCTCAATCTCTTACCTTTATTATCTCCGAACTAACAATCATGCCCTCAACTTCATTTATTTTTTGACCTACTGTTAACTATCTTCAGATCCAATGATTCCACTGAACCAGCCCCCTAAAGCTACTAACTTTAGGTTATTCTTTAGCCTTGACTCGGCTGGTCCTTTTTTGCTGGACCGCTGGACGGGAAACTGAAACCACCCCTTCCTTCTCAAAACACTCCTTTCCTTAGACTTCCACACACATCATCCTTGTGGCTCTGTGCCTGACCCTCTTTCTGAGTCTCCTTGTTTCCTCTCTACTTTCTCTCCCCAATCCCCAATATTGTGTCCACCAGGATTCTGCCTTGGCACTTTCCCTTTCCAATCTCAGAGTTCCAGGAAAATGTTCTCTACTCCTGTGGCTTTATTTATCATTCATGTGTTGTCTTCTTAGTATCCGGTTGCCTCTTTCTTTTAAACAGGCCTGCAGACCTAATTAAAAAAAAAAAAATCACATTTCCCAGTCTCCCTTGAAATTAAGGTTTGTTATGTGACTAGACTTAACAGTGAAGCCTATGTAGCACTCTAAGGAGATTTCTGGGGAGGTTTTGCTTTCCTAACACAGATATGCTCCTTGATCCTCTTTGCCCTTTTTTCTACCTGTTTGGAATGCAGGTAAAGGCTGGAGCTGGTAAAGCCATTTACGACTACAAGCTCATTCTTAGTAAGGAGAGCCAGAGCAGACTTACAGAGTAGATCTGGGAACTTAATGACATTGTGGAACTGCTAACCAGTTTTGTTCTGTTTATTTTTAGAATTTTTGTTATGTCAGGATTTTCCACAACTATAGTAACAAACCCATTTGGTTAAAACCATATAGTTGGGTTGCTGTTACAAGAGCTGAACACAAACTCTAGCTAATATAATTCCCAAATTTATAGCTTCTATTTAAAGGCTTCTCTTGAATTCCAAACAGAAACCTGAACCTTTCTACTTGGTCCAGGGTCACTTCAAATGTAAGAGGTGCAAGTTGTGACCTACTGTCAAACAGACACACAAGGTGGCAAGGATTTCTTGTTTCAGTGAATAGCATTGCTGTTTATGCAGCCCAAACATGATGTCTGAGTATTTCTTATCTTCTCATCTAATTGATCACCCCTCAGCTCTACCTCCTAAATGTATTTTGAACCTGTTCACTTTTTCCATGTCCTCACCATGAACTTCCTGAGCCATTGTAATAGTTTCCTTCCCTTTAGTTTTGTTCCCTCCATTTCACTCTCCTAAAGCACAGAGGTAACATTTCCATTCTGCCTAAAACCTTTCAGTGACTGCTTAGGACCCAAGGACCACTAGGCACTTCTTTGCTAGGAGATTTTGGCCCTGCAGATGTCATTCCTTCTTTGGCATAAATGACCACAAGGATGGACACGTGATATGGTGCAGACCTGGACCGATTATGGAGTCCTCTCTCACCAGTGACTGGCCTGGGAGTTGAGTATATGGCCAGAGCTGGGCCAATTAAAGATTCATACCAACCTAGAGCATAGCATAGACATGTCTGATATGGGGCAAATTCTGATAACTAAGAGAGAGGGAGAGCTCCTGGCCTGGGAGATCCCAGGATCAGCACCCAATTTTTGCTCGTAAAGCCCTTCAATGGTTCATATCTTAATTCTTTAATACTGTTCTGCATGCCCCTGGTTACCACCTCACTTCATCCTCACTTGCTATTTCAGCCACATTGGTTTTCTTTGGACACAGACAGAGGTTACCTTTTTCAGGGCCATGATGCCCTGAATGTCTCTGCCTGACTTTTCTGAAGGCAATCTCCTCAATCTTTTGACTCCAGTTTTAACATCACTGCCTCAGACATTTTCACTGCCAGCTCCATCTAAAGTAGCTCTTATTCTCTCTCCCACCTCTTTTTTTGTCCTAGCATTTACTTCAACTTACAACTATTTGTTTTTTCTGTTAAAAATAAGCTTTATGGAGCAAGAGGCCTCAGCTGTCTTGTTTCCTGCTGCATTCCCAGCATCAGAACAGCACCTGGCACAGAGTGGATGCTCGAGCACACTCTCACTCTCCACTGGAGGGTGACTGAATAGACAGGTTCCCCAGAGGACCCTGACCTGCCTAGAATGTCATTTCACTAAATAAAACAGGTCCTTCCTGGTGGCCTGTTTAAGCACTCTTCACTGGTATGGTCAGGGAGCTCACCCACATGATGTAGCAGACCTCTCTTGTCTTATCTGCGACTCCCCTCAGCATTAATGTTTCAGTACATCCACCTGTTCTGCTCCCCACTTGGTCTCTGGTGATTCTTCTCACTCCCCACACCTCTGGCTTACACCTCAGTTCTTGTAGGCTAAAAATTAAACTGAAAAAAAAAAAAAAAAAAAAAAAAAAAAGAAACCCACTGAGAATGGACTGAACAGTCTCCTTTTCAAGATCTCGTCCTCCCATTACTTAAAATTACTGGTTATACTAGCGGTGATGCGATGATGCTATTGCATAATAGTGTTACTCCATGCTTTTGTGAAGGGGAGGTACCATTTCTCTGCCTCCACTTTCAGGCAGCCATCTTGATTTACAAGTTCCAGTGTGCCACGAACACTGCTTCTTGAGCTACTGGGATCTAAAGGTAGAATCAAACAGCCATATGCTATGTAATACTGAAGGCAGATAGGCTTTTGGGGTTCTCCTGCTTTCATTTGCACCCAGGGACTTGAAAGAGACAGTGGGTGAAAGCCGCTTGGGAAAGCAGAATGGCCAAGAGAATGGCAACCATTATTTTGATTTTGCATTTTCTCTTGCTCCATTTGCCCCTCACCTGTTGTACTCTGTCTTGTTAGTCTCCACTTGAAAGTGCCTTAGACCTGTGGCAAACTTTGGGGCCTCATCAGGCCTGCTTTGGGCCAACGCTATTTGGGCATTTGGCTACAAGGGGATGGGTAATTTCATTGGGAAACTACTACTATTACAGGGTAACCCCGATATGAATTGGGTTGCCTGATTGTGGGTCCTCACTTGTGTGCTTAAAGTGACTTATAATAAGACTCAACTGCAGGCACACACAAAAAGGTTAATAAAGAGGATATTTGCAAAAGAAGGGAAAATGAAGAAATGAATATTTCAGGGAGAAAGGGGGTAATAAATTGATAAATGCATCCTGCCAGTGACCTGGAATCCCAGTGGCACACTGGGAGCAGAGAAAAGCCAAGCTTCAAGCCAAGAGCTAAGAGGCCAAGAAACCCAAAAGCCAAGAGGCCAAGAGAGCAGGAGGGCCCCCCGTCCCACGTGTTTAGTTTTATACTAAACTTGGCTACTTTACTGCACCCTCAGGTCCCAGCCATCCTCCTTTCCATGATGATGGGATTTGTGTTTCCCCTGTCTTGATGGCTTTGGTCTGGAGTGGGAGTGGAGCCCACAAAACCTTTGTGGAATCCTTACAGGACATTCTTTACCCTTGACACTGTTAGGAATATCCTTTCTTCTCTTCTCGCTTTATGCACACTAATACTATTTAAGATCTTCCACACTAAGGATATACATCCTTTGCCTTTGTGCATAGTGATGTCTGGATCCCTTTGGAGGGTGCAACCCTTAACAGTTTGGGCTTCTTGGGTGATCTTTGATGGTATACTGCCAAGAGAGCCAGGTGTCCTGGGCACAACAGCCATCCTTTATCTGAATGAGTGTGAGTCAAAAATGTGCCTCATTTTAGACAGGTGGGTTGAGCCCGCAGACGTCCCCCTTTTGAACACCAGACCTAGCCAACAGTGTGGACACCTTTCCACCCCCTAGGCCCTCCTTTAGGGGGTCCCCCTTCAACTCACCCTCACAGATCCTCCCAGACATTTCCTTAGGATGAAGGTGGGGAAAGACAAAAAATCCTACAAATCTCAGGAGGGTTCCAAAGAAAATTTGGTATTTTTAGCACTCAAGCTGTAAGTCTTAACTAACCGGTTTTGCAAAGAAATGGTGGTGGTGTGGTGGGGGGGGTGGGGATGGGGGGAAACAACCAGAAAAACAAATCTCAATGTTACTATTCTTCTGTTGACGCTACCCCCACCACCAGCCTCCAAGGCCTGGCAGGAAGCCCTTCTATTTCCAGCACAGCCATTTTTAAAATTCTGAGCCCAACTCTACTGGATCACCCCATCATCCTGTCCCCCTCAAGATGTGGCCTCAAGCAGCCACAACCAGCTCTCCTCCCGGGCCAGGGCCTCAGGGGTCACATGCAAGGCCGGCTTGGCCTTCACGCTCCGAACCTCGGTGCAGCGTTCGTGGAGCCGCAAGTGCTCCGGCCAGGGGCCGGCCGGGTGCAGGCCAGGCCAGGCCAGCGACGCGCACACGAGGGGA